GTCAGCCGAAACAAAACATAAATGTGGGTGGGGACCCTTCTCTCTCCCCCCTCCCCCCTCTCTCTCTCTCACACACACTTCCCTGACCAGCAGACTTCCAGAGGGGGAAGAGGTCGTTCCTACCAGACGTCTGAAAGGATTGCTTGAAGTGGGCCTTTGAAATTGGGCTGAGGGGCACATAAAATTAGACTGAAGGCCCCAGGTTCTCCACCTGTTATGCAGAGAAAGTGGACTCTCTTTCCCCCCAATCTCTAGAGCACTAGAACTCAGAGCCATACAGTTGCACTACTGGGCATTAGATAAGAGGACAGACAAAATAAAAGCCCTCCCTCCAGAGGTGGTGTGCCTTTGAATGCCAGCTGCCGGGAATCAGAAGTGGGAAGAGGGCTCTTGCACTCATGTCTTGCTACTGGGCTTCTAATAGGCATCTGGCTGGGCTGTCGGAAAACAAGACTCTGGACTAGATGGGCATTTGGCCTGATCCAGCAGCGCCTTTTCTGTTCTTGAAATGCTTCCTCATGATACATAATTGAGTTATGGGTTCCAGTGTTTCAATATCTGGGTATGCCACTGCCTTAGATGGCTTGAAAAGAGGACTGAGAGGGGGAATCATATGTGATGAGAGGTCAAGGAGACTTCCTTTCTGCCCTGCTGAGGCTGGTGTTCTGGCCATTAAGAGAACCAGTCAGACTGCAAAAGGGACATGGCAGGGAGACTGCGCTGAGGATGCCACACCATTCATTGGATAAAGGTTGGCATAAGATACAATGGGTGTGGGCGTTTGGAGGAGGCTGATCACTGAAATTCATCTGTATAATATTTTCCTCTTTTCTGTTGCTGTTATTGTTGTTGTAGCGTGGATGATTGACTACTGAATAAAGTGTTCACACCCCCATAAACCCTACCTATTTCAATGAATCAATGAAGAGGTGGGAGCAGAGTGGCTAGAGACAAACACCAAATAGATTATCTTTCACAAGGGTGTTTCCACTATGTCTTGCTTTATTGTCATTCTCCACTAGCAAGTGAAGCTTTCTTTCCACAAGTACAGATACGTCTTTGTTGTTGGAAGTGGAAATGTCCTCTCCCCCAAATCTGGAAATGGGACTCCCACAACCCAGTCTTTTTCTCTGGATCTGGCTTGGTTTGCTCTTGGCTTCTACTATGAGGCAAATCTCATACCCCATGTTTTGTCAGGCTTTTCAAATTATCTGTTTGGGGCTTTCAGTTTGACCTGAAAATAGCTTAATCGTTTTCGGACGTGGTACATATGCCCTAAAGAGACAAATTTTAGACTTTACTAGTAAACAAAATATCTTGGTATAGATATGTGCTGAGTTTACTCTATCTCAGTTTGGGGGTGTACATTGAATCTTCAGTTTTAAAGGAGAGTTATAACATTTCCACTGGTCTGATACATCGCTGGGCACAATTCAAAGTGCTGGTTATTACCTATAAAGCCATGAGACTGAGTTATCTCAAAAAGTGCCTCCTTCCAGAGGAACTTCTCCATGCATTGCATTCATCATCTGAGGCCCTGCTCCATGGTCCACCGCTTTCAGAGGATGTGCTGTTTAGGTTCTGAGATGGAGCCCATGGGGCAAGGCAGGTTTGCTGTTGCAGCACCAAGGAGAGCTCCTGGTGTGCAAATGGGACCCCATGAGGGCTGAAGATGGCTTTTGAGCCTTTTGAGCCTCCAGCCCGCCTCTCCTGTGTTCTGCCACCCTCTGGGGTCTTTTAAAGGCCTGAAGAGAGGTAATTCTCCTTGGTTCTATGGCCTGCCACCCGGTATACTTCCTGTGCCATTAAATGAGCAAGGTAGCGTGGAAGGACCTTGGACCCAGAGGAAGTTGTCTGTGAGGGTCCTAGCTCTGCATTCCCTAGGGGTGTGGGATCTGGTTTGGCAGAGGCTCCTTGTTTGCCAGCCTCAGATTCAGTGGGATCCTGTTCACCAGCACCAGGCTCAGGGCCAGGAACTTAGTCCAGTCCTTCAGCTGATGACACTTCAGCCTCCAACTTGGTGCACAGGTCACTGCTGAACTCTGGAGACATGGCAGACATTTTAGAATGGCAGGAAAGAGCATAAGAAGGTAAGAAGAGCCTTGCTGAATCAGACCAAAGAACCACCTAGTTCGGATCCTGTTCCCACAGTGCCAAAAAAAATGCTTATGGGAAGCACACAAGCAGTCGCCTATGCTGTGTCTTTTATCTGTTTTAACTTCCTGGTATGTTTCATATTTCTCTTGTGCTGCACTTATTTTAATAATTTAATTCAGGCGTATTTAGGTTTTTAAAATCTATTTTTATTGTATTATTATCTTGTAAATCTAGAAACGGCCTTGAGAACCCTTTTAGGTAGGACACATTTTCTAACGAGCCCCCACAAAAACAACAACAACAGTGAGACCTGGAACTGCTGAATTCTGGCAAATAACATGACAAATGTGTATGTGTGTACACACACACACACACACACACACACTTGGGAGTAAGCCCTATTGAATTCAGTTTATTTCACTTCACAGTAAAATAATAGGGTTTATCTGTAACACTGCAATCCTAAGTATATTGACTAGTGAGTAACTTCTAATGAACTTATTCACTTAGCTTGTTTAGAATTGTGGGATACAAATTCAAACTGGCTGGAATCCTGTACGTTCTTGGGACTCATCCAAACTTCCTTTCACACTGCCCTTTCTAGGCACTTTCTAGGTCCATGTCTGAGCAGTTTTTCCCCTTTTTCTTTTCGTCCCACTACTTTCCCTTGGAAAACCTGCTGTTTACTGTTGAATTGGAACAAACAGCAGTCAGGTTTTTCACGGATTGCTTTTTGTTCAGATTCAATGGTAAAGCAAATGGGAGTCTGGACAAACCCTTTTTTGGAAGTAAGTCCAATTAAAATGAATAGGCAGTACTCCTAAGCACATATAGTTAAGATGAAAAAGTTCGTTTCAGATCAGACTACAGTATGTATCGCCAGCACTCCACTTGGTGTCTAAAGATGCATTTGCAAGGCATGTTCTCGCGTCAGAAAATGATAGACTTCCTGTTATGTCCTGTTTAGGACCTCTGGGAATCACCCTAAATGCCACTAAAGCCAATCAAGAGTCCAGTAACATACTTCCAAGGGACAATAGTGTTTTGAAATATATTAGTTGATTATAGCTATTAGCAGTCTCATAATGAGGGCCGAAGTGTGTGTTAGTAATATTAATAAGCTTTCGCAGTGCACAAATCAGTCTGTTTATCAACTGCCTGTCTACTCTCAAGCTCCAAAAGGTCCAGATGAGCGGAAAACATCGCCATCTTGTGGTCTTGTGTTTTGAATAAAGAGGACCCCCCCCCCCCGTATTGTCTCAATTATTAGGCTATGTTAAACATTCATCTGCTGTGTTTTTCAGGATGAATGAGGTGCTCCTATACCCTTTTACATAGCTACATTTTTAAGATGACCATGTATTAAGAGTGCATCACTTAGACTGGAAATCATATATACACACTTAACTGGGATTAAATCCCATTGAACTCAATTATTGCTGAGAAGACATGCGCAGAGGATTGCACTGTTAATCCACCAGGACTCGATTTGGCCAGTGAGGATTTGTTGTGGACTGAATCTCTGACAACATGACAGAAATCTTGTTCATTCTTTTAGCTTTAAAGCGTTTATCTTCTCTAGGGACACTGTGAATGTAGTCGTCAAAACTGATGTTTGGAACAGGGAACATTTGTTTCTTCATCAACATTCTTCAAAGTAGTCTTCAGTGTCATTGTTTTTGCTTGGTTTGATGTTGACAGAGGGCTTTGAGGACATGGCAAGACTAAGGCACTGTTAGTGAGCATTTCCCTAGACTGGATGACTGGAAGGTCGCCTGCTTTTGATGGGATTACGCTTCCTCTGAAGGAGTGGGTACACAGCTTGGGGATACTTCTGGATCCATGGATGTTTCTTGAAGCTCAGGTGGCCTCAGTGGCATGGAGTGCCTTCCATCAGCTTCGGCTGGTGGCCCAGCTGCACCCCTATCTGGACAGGGACAGCCTAACTTCTGTTGTCTATGCTCTGGTAGCCTCTAGGTTAGGTTGCTGCAATGTGTTATACATAGGGATGCCTCTGAAGACTGTTACGAAACTTCAGCTAGTGCATAATTTGGCAGTCAGGTTGGTCACTGGGGCATGATGGTTTGAGCATATTACACCGATCCTGGCCTGACTGCACTGTCAGTTAGTTTCTATGGCCAATTCAAAGTGCTGGGTTTGACCTATTAAGCCCGATGCATTGCTCAGGATTGCAGTACCTCAAGGATGCATAAGCTAAAGGACTCACAGTGCGATGCAGTAGCAAAAAAAGCTAATGCTACTCCAGGCAGCATCAACAGAAGTGTACTGTCCAGATCAAGGAAGTAATAGTACCACTCTATTCTGCCTTGGTCAGACCACACTTGGAGTACTGTGTCAAGTTCTGGGCACCACAGTTTCAGAAGGATATTGACAAGCTGGACTGCGTGCAGAGGAGGCAAACGAAGACGATAAAGGGTCTGGAAACCAAGCCTTATGAGGAATGGTTAAAGGAGCTGGGTATGTTTAGCCTGGAAAAGAGGAGACTGATAAGAAATATGATAGCCAACTTCAAATATCTAAAGGGATTACTACTACTACTATTACTATTATTAACACAATGTAATGCAAGAGAAAGGGACGTGGGTTAAACCACAGAGCCTAGGACTTGCCGATCAGAAGGTTGGTGGTTCGAATCCCTGCAACGGGGTGAGCTCCCGTTGCTTGGTCCCAGCTCCTGCCAACCTAGCAGTTCGAAAGCATGTCAAAGTGCAAGTAGGTAAATAGGTACTGCTCCGGTGGGAAGGTAAACGGCGTTTCCGTGCACTGCTCTGGTTCGCCAGAAGTGGCTTAGTCATGCTCGCCACATGATCCGGAAGCTGTACTTCGGCTCCCTCGGCCAATAAAGCGAGATGAGCGCTGCAACCCTAGAGTCGGTCACGACTGGACCTAATGGTGAGGGGCCCCTTTACCTAATGCAAGAGAAGGTACCCATGCTGAAAGATGGCAGCAGGAACACAAGAAGCCCTACCAATGTTGCTGGAGCACATGCCTTGGAAGCAGAGCATTAACCCTTTCAATTAGGGCTCATTTTCTCCAGGGAAGCAGAAATGAACAGATATCTCTCTGCCACCCTATATAAAATAAGCTCCTGATCAGAGCTTGCTAGAGCAACATTCTAGCTACTTGGTTGCCTGTTCGCTTTGCCTTCATTCCCCAATGTTCTGTCCAGGGTCCTGATATTTAATGTGTTCTCTTAGCGTATGAGAATTGCACAGCATTCCTTGTTGTTGCTGGCCTGCTTACTGACCACTGAACCTACTTAGTGATGGTACTTAGTGGTGGTAGGCTTCAGATGCTATCTGCAGCTACTTTCATATGGCAGTGGCTTTTCAGTTCAGCAGTGGATTGATAATTGCCTGCTGCACAAAGGCTCTGAGAAGTTTCTCCATTTCAAAAGCTCTTTTCTCTCACCCTGTTGCTGCCTAAATTGTGCAGTCTCTTCACCACCATTTTCAGAATGCTTTGTTCACTTTCCATTTAAGTGTCATGTTCACGATGTGCAACGTGGAGCTTTGTGCCAGAAATGGGAGATTTAATAACAGCAACAGGTGTGACATTTGTTATCCTGCAAGCTACCTGTAGTGTGCTTCTCTAGATCCATTGAAGGAGTCTCACAAATGGGGGTTGTCTTAGGAGCATCTAGAAATCATAACCATTGAAGGGCTTGTAGTAGGGCATATGATGGCTAGGCATAATTTGTAGGGGTGGGCAAGTTTCCAAAAACATTCATTGGACTGATTTGGAAGTAAACAGAGCTCATTCAGGGAAAATATAATCAACCTGTCAAGCACTCAGACATTCAGCATGTATGACTTGAATCCAGTCTGACTTGAACCCAGCCTTACCACCATTCTGCACCTGTGTGTTTTCATTGTACACTTTGGGATTTGAAGTATAGGAATTCAGTGCTGAATTGGGGGCACATGGAATTTTCACAGGGTTGCTACATTAACATTTATTATTATTATTTTACAAGTCAAGACATGATTGGATGTGTCCCTGGTGGCCTTATGAAAGTCTGCATAGGACTGGAGTGTTTCAAGAACTTTCATATTGGCTGGTGGTCACTAGAATTTCCCTGTCCCAAATAGTTAAAGTCCGAATTTTGCGGTACTTTCATTACGGTGTGTTGGGTGTTTCATGTTTTATCTTGTTCCCTGCTATGCCTTCAGGATACATAGAGACAAATATTGACAGTTCAGCCAAGCAAGCCATACAGCGTGCACTCTGGATAATGATGGTGCACACTGAGTGTGTGCGAGATTGGAACACATGCATAATACAGATATCCAGATATGCATAGATGTACATATGCACTGAACCAAAATGTGTAGCTGTTCAATTTGGAATATATAATTTCTGTACTGCCTTTCTGCCAAAGCACCCAATACACTTTACAATTTAAAATACTAAAACAAACACATTGTATGAAATGTAGTGTGACGCAGTCACCTTGGGCCAATTGGTAGGCAATGGTATGTGCCTGAACTGGGTACCTGATAAACTAAGTAGAGAATGCCTTTTCTAAACAAACAAACAAACAAACACCTCTATTGTTAGTTTGTTACATAAATTTCTAAAAAGTATTTTTATTTAGAACGCACAGGTAGTATTACGTTGAACCCATAATAATTTCACAGGGTGATGGAGAAAGCTCCATTTTCTGTCAAGGAAGGGAGATATTCAATCAATTCTAAAAGCTGCACAGAAGAGCTTTTTGACACACATTCAGTGTTCTTTGTAGCAGTCTTTCTAATTATGCTGAGGAGATACTTTTTGCCATTTCAGTTGTGGAAAGCTGCTGATAGTGGTTGCTTGAACTATTAATATTAAAATCTGATCCCTTAGTTGGTTGAGGAACTCAGCACCAGAGCTGCTGCTAATCAGCTTGATGAACTCTTCATAAGAAGGAGAATTATGTAGGCTGTCTTGTGATGCTTGTTCACCTGTTCTTTGTACTCCATCTGAACAAGCAACAACCTTTGGTTGATACAGTTGGGATCACTCAGAAGTTCTACCATTGGTTTCAGTACTTTTAACACAAACATTCCTGCAAGGACTACGTACAAGCAAGGCAGCTAAGCTTTCCTCAGGCATTGAGGGTTATGTCTAAATTCCACTTGCTGAATTTCCCAGCTAAGTGAGTTCATTCCCGAGCGAAGTTCAGGAGAACCCTGCACATTCCCACCATTGCCAAGAATTTGGCCATATTAGTTACATGTACCCTTTTTATAAAAGCATGTTTGTTTTGTATAATTTACTGTAAAGACTGGAACGCATGCCAATGTATGATAACAATGCATCACTGGTAGCCGATTCATTAAGCCCTCTGGCATGGTGGTGCTATTATTGAATGCCAGGTCAACCCATAGTAAACCATGTTCATCCATGACTTGATTGTGGATGAAGAGGCTGACTTGACAGGTATTTCTGAGGCTTGAATGGGGAGCTAGATGGGGGTGACTTCAGCATTACATAGGGGTGGCCACTAGGCTGGCATGGGATGTCATGGCTTCTATGCCAACCATGGGACCATCTTAAATGGTCATCGGTCCAACCCATCAGTCAGGGCATAACCTTGATGTGATCTTCACCCCAAGTTACAGGAGGGATGGACCAAAGATAGGAACGGTGCAATGCACACCCTTGTCATAGTTAGACCAATACCTGGTGAAATTGAACTAGTAGTGACAGTTTCTCCGGCAAGGGTGGTAAGCCTACTCAGAAGAACAACCCTTGGAACTTGATGGAACCTTCCTGAATGTTCTGGGGGATTTTCCAGAGGAGAAAGCTGCGGATCCTGTCAAAACTCTTTTCTTGCTACAGAATGGTAAAATGCTTTGTGAAGCCCAAATTGCTCCTTCATATTCTTGGAAGCTTTAGGCTATGAGGCAAGCTGGATGAAGACTAGAGCATAAGTCTTGCACTGAAGCTGTTAATTTTATTATTTATTTCAGTGATCTTTAAATGTTTTTAATTTTTTAAAAAACTTTTTTTTTTGCTAACTTTGGTATACAGTATAGTGTAAACTGCTCACTGTGTTCTAGCAATACATTTTGTTTAAAAATGAAAGAAAGAAACAGCTCCCCAAAGTTCTGATTTTTGCTGCACTCTTTTCTTTTCACATACTAAATCCATCGAGCATCCATGATGGACTTTTCTTTATTACTATGCTGCAGTGACAATTTTGTATGCTTAAAATGTTTCCTAAAGAGAAAGTGTAGTTTGTTTATCATAAACCCCATTATATTTTGAGAGCCTCCTGCAGTTCCGCACAGATAAGAGCTAATGTAACATTTTTATTGCACATCTCACCCAAGATTGCATTGAAGAAAACAGTGGTGGAGGTGTCGTTTATTAGTCATTCATCTTGTAAACTGCATTTTTCACTATTTTTAAGTGGAAAAGAAAAGTAAACTGCAGTTGTCAAATGACTAAGGTCCATTCACCTAAATCACCTCTGAATTTTGTGGAATTCTTACCAGCTGGATTCAAAAATGGGGGTTATGCCACACCCATAACAGGGTCTCCCTTGCAATGTAACAAAAATCATGACATTTAGAATAGATTATGTCCTACAACTTGTGACCTTTCCAAACAGTTTTGGCTTAAAGAATTCCAACAGTACAGGAAGAAATGGAGAGGTTCATGCTGTAAATATCTGTAAACCTCTCTGATAACCTGATTACTTGTTTGACACAGTCAATTTCCATGAAGGTAATTCACAGTTTATCCTCATGGTAAAGAAAGCCCACTAACCTGACTTAATTACAGACAACCTTTCTTCACTATTACTACCCCATTTACTCGTAAATAACTGACAATTAGCATCTTTGTTATTTATTTGGTCACTTAGCAAGAAACAAATGGCAGCCAGGAGTCCATGATTAACAAGGGCATCTTGTTCTGTATTTCAGCTTACGCTCATTCTGATAGTGAGTGCAAATTACTGAGAAGAAGGGTGGTGACAGGTGGGAGCAGCAGCGAGGAGATTGCAGTGATCTAACAATGCAATCCAAACCCATTAAAATCAATGAGACTTTGGATTTTGGTCATGGGAGGTTGACGATGCTTTAACCAGAGATGAAATGATACATAAAGAAAAATGCAGATCCTAGGGATGAAAAAGGAGAAGATGCTGAAACTGGTCCAGGGTTGGGTCGGGGGAGGAAGATGACCCCTAGGCAGGGTAGCAGAGAAGACTGACAAGAATAGGATGCTTCTGGGCCAACTTGGTGGGATGGTTATCAGCAGCACTGTTTCATGGTGGCTCCGTTCTTCCCTGCTGGCTCCTGTCTGGAGAGTAGCATTGGAAAAGTGCTCTTCAGCCCCCTGGTGTTCAACATATGAGGTCCCACTGGACATTATTTTGTCCACAAAGGATTCTGAATCTATATGAAGCCATTGGGACCAGTCACTATGAATTTTGCAGCAAGATGCGTCAGTATGCCGATGATGTCCAGCTCTGTTTTTTCCTTTTTTAGATAAATATTTAAATATTTTTTATTCATTTTTATCTTTAGCAATTATCATCACAGATAAATCATAATCATGTATACATAGGATTCTCTGAATCCCCAGACCTCCCTCCATCCCTCTATGGTTTCCATAGTTATTCTTTTCCAACTGCATCTTATAATGTTCTCCATATTTTCTTAATACTCAGTTCTCACTACATTGCAAGTGTTTTTCAGAATCCTGCCAGTGTTTTTAATTGTTTACAATGTTCTTTTAAGTAACTTATAAATTTCCCCCATTCTTTATCAAATTTATTATCTTCTTGATCTCTGATCTTCCCGGCCATTTCAGCATAGTCCATCATTATCAGCCATTCTTCTTTTGTAGGTAGTTTATCTTCCTTCCATCTTTGGGCAAGAGGCCCAGCTCTGTTTTTCCATTACTTCTGAGTCAGGAGTAGCAGTGCTAATCAACTTGGGAAGGTAGACCATCTAGGAGAAGGAAAACTCTGATCCTAAACCTCTGCTGCTTTGCGGCTATACTCATTTGTGAGAAAGGCTTAAGGAGAAGCCCCACAGAAAAATCCATACCCACTGCTTTGTGGGACATCTTCAGGAGAAGGAAAAGGCTAAGCAGTAACCCCACACAAATCCAGAGTGGAGTCCTTAACATGGTTGAATTGCTCCTTGTATTCCTCCATTTGGGCTAGAAGAATCTGGAAAAGTAGAATAGAAGCATTTTATCTTTGAAAATGCTGGTCCTTCAACACTCTGGGTAATGTGGGAGGGCAGTATGATTTGCAGTCACTACACACTTGGAAAAGCTTGGTTTACCAGTATATGCAGCCTCCTCAACTGGAGGCCTCTTGGAAAGAGGGCAAGGATGGTTGATGTAGCAGTTCTTCCAGACTTCTTCCAACTGAAGCATCTGTAGTCCCAAGCCCCAGGTTCAACTGCTGATAACATTTCTTCCTTGGCCCCCAGTGTGTCTCAGGTATGTTTTGTTGGTATAGCACTTTCCAATATAGATCCCTTTGTCTTGTGTTCACTATCAACACTGGAGAGCTCAGTTCGCTAGAGCGTGTTGCTGACCATGGCAAGGTTGCAGGTTTGATCCCCATGTTGGACAACTGCATTGCAGGGGATGATTCTCAGGGTCTCTTCCAACTCTACAATTCTGTGATTCTATCAGAGGAATCCATGAAGTCCATGGGTGCCTGGGAGGCAATAAACAGTATGTTACATAAACTAGTAAAGCAGTATATAAGAGGCTTTCCTGCAGATGTCTCATTACAGACGATTTCATCCTTTCTGTCCAAGAAAACAAGTGCAGAAAGTGAGATGGTGAGTTATGCTGCAAAAGTTCATAACTATATTCATTGAGATATGTCAGTAGTGTAGTTGGAGAACAGCCTTTACCAAAGGTGTCATAGGCTTTGAAGACACTCAAACTCGGGACACAAGGGAGAAACATGCTAAGAGGAAGGCACGCTTGGCAAATCTACACTGTGACCAACTCCTGTCCGGAAACCAATGTCCCCACTGTGGAAGGACGTGTGGATCCAGAATTGGCCTCCACAGTCACTTACGGACTCATTGTTAAAACCATGTTTATGGAAGATAATCTTACTCGGCTACGAGTGATCACCAAAGAAATATCGTTCCTGTCCTGCTTGAAAGAGAGTGTGTGTGTGTGGTGAGGAGGAATGTGCTTAACAGGTTACAGTGTCTCACATTTCGTGGCAGATATTGCATTACAGCAATCAGTGGCAGTAAACGTGGCTCCCTCCAGATCTTCTGGGACTACAGTTCCCATCATCTTTGAACACTGGGCATATTGACTAGGACTGAAAGAAGTTGGATTCATCAACATTTGGAGGGCACTACTGCCCTTGCAATATATTTTGGGATTTTCCCTCACATCTCTGAAAAATGGATGTGGTGTTGGGTAGGCATTTCAGTGTCAGTGAATTATGCCATAAATCTGCATACCAAGTTTCTCTGTGATCTCACAGTCATCAAGTCAGATATCAATCTGCAGTGGGGTCCCCCCCCCGCCCTGCTGCTCCCTTCCATGGGTTTCAGTCTGAGGTTCAAACCAGTGTGGTGTCCCAATTGTCTTTCCAAAATTTCAAACTTTAGCTAGTGTATTATTATGTATTTCTCTCCCACCCACCCACACTTGAAAATAGGTGAGTTTGTATTTGGACTACTGACATAAAATTGTGTCCTGACCATGTATACCAAATTCATTCCAGTGTCACATTATTTGACATAGATGTTGAGTTACACACAAGCAAATTATGCCAAGGTCTTCACTTAGCCTAACCAGTAAATCCACCAGACAAGACTGAAGGATTAAATAAACTACCAAATGGCACCTGTCTGCCAGTCCTTGTTCTGTTCATAAGAATGAACTCTTAGAGAGAAAATAGTTGCCTGGCATCTTAAAGAACAAATAAGCCCCAAGGCTCTTATATATAAGAGACATGTGCATACAAGCCTTTTTCCAGTGTACAGATGACAGTGAATTGAAAGGAATGGGTAATGGCTTGATCAAGGCCACATTGTGAAATGAGGATTAACATTCATGCTTGCCCTTAGCTATTGTGAGACCAAACTGCTCCAGTTGCATTTCTCCATTCCAATCTTTTAAAATTTTAATTAAAGGAAAGAAAGAAAGAAAGAAAGAAAGAAAGAAAGAAAGAAAGAAAGAAAGACACTTCCTTTTGTCTGGACTCCAGAAGGCTGGGAAAACAAAAGCAATAATCTATTTTTGATTGAGTACATCATTACTGGACTCATTCAAATAATTCATCACTACCTGCCACTTAGTTAAATGGCAACAGAACAGATGTGAAAAATGCAAGGACAATTTTTACATCCTTTATATGCAGTATGTACTATGACAGATTATTCTCAGAACTGCTTCAACAGTCTTTTGTTGCTTGTCAAATGTATTGGCAATCCCAGCTCCAAAGAAAAACAGTCTTCTTCCTAAAAAGAACAAAACCCCCACTATTTTAAAGAGATACATTAAATCCTTTACTCCTCATTAAGGATAGTGAGGGCATTAAAATCCAAAATGGGGGAGCTGAGTACCAGATTCTAATTACCTGCTCTCTCAAGATCCCCCCACCCCATATTTACTAGTGCCTTCCAGATGTTTTAGACTACAACTCCCACCAGCCCCAGCTAGCATGGCCAGTAGTCTGGGATGATGGGATTTGTAGTCCAACAATATCTGGAAGGCACCAGGCTAGGGGAGTCTTCTTTGGGTTTTCTGGTGTCTGCTCTAGCACAACACAGGTCCTGCTCATCAAGCTGAGGATTGGCCACTCCCTCGCATTTCCCTTTCTCACTTTTTGGAAGTAGGCCAGTGCGCTGTCCTCGGGCGTTAACACTACAAAGCATGTGTAAGTTATGCCTATATACATAATGCCTCCAAATCAATCAGATGAAGTGCTATGATGGCATGGCATGTTCTCAAACATTCCTGCAACTCGAGGAGTAAACTATACAAGTCTCTCTGGGTTTAATGGGTCTCACTCCCAAGTAAACAGGACCGCAGCCTTAGTCACATCCTGTAACACACCATATCACCATCGCCACCATCATAATTTTATTTGTATGCCACCTTTCCATAGTTAAAGCCATACTCAAGGCTGCTTACAACGTGAAATATGAGCACAGAACACAACTGCCAAGTAACATACAATATATTACACTGAATTTATAACAATGGCATGACTCCCAAGTGGTTTCCTGGCCTGAAAGATTGCTGGTGCTGACCTTCAAAGCCTTAAATCTGGGGTGGCCCACATGGTCTTCTCCAGTTTTCCTGAACTGCAGCTTTCAATACCTCTGACCATTGGCCATGCTGGCTGGAGCTGATGGGAGTTGGAGCCCAGCCAACATCAGGATGACACCATGTTGGTTCCCATTGCTGTAAATGGTCCCGTCTTGTATTAATTTACCTATAGATTAAGATATGCCTTCTCTGTGTGAATTGCAATGGGTGGTAACACAGACACAGGGCAATTGTGGAACTCCCTTGGAGGGTGGAACTCATTGGAGGGTGAAATGGCAGGGTGAGAAGAGGACACAGGGAGAAAGACAGGATTGGGAAGTGTCGAAGCTCAGTGGTAGAGCATGCAGAAGTCCCAAGTTCCAGCCCCGGCATCTCCAGGTAGAGTTGGGAATGGCCCTTTTCTGAAACTCTGGAGCACCTCTTACCATTCAGTGTAGACAATGCTGAGCTACATGTATCAATGGTCTAAGTATAAGGCACCTTACAGTGTCCCCACCCCTGCTCCACAATATCGGTTTCTGGCCACATTACGATTGAGGCCATAACTGAGATGCTACTTACAAAGAAATATTGCAAAAGTACATATCCCAAGTCCACTTTTTTGCACTTAGTATCTTTATAACTGGTCTTACCCATCCAAACCAGCCCAAAGCAATAGAACATAGAATTATGGCTACTCTAAGTCACTAATGGTGGGTACACTGCCATAAATGTGTTTGTGTGTGAGAGGAAGAAAAAGAGAGAATGCCAATTTTGTTTGCTAGCAGCATAGTGTGTTCAAAGCACTATACAAACACTGCCACTGTTATTATCATTTGCCAATACATTTCAATGGGGCTTGTGCCTTATTATTATTATTATTAGTAGTAGTAGTAGTAACAGTAATATTGATGAGGATGGGATTACTTCACTGTCTATGGAAATGGTGCATTGCAGATTCTTATCCAAAGGCCTTTAAGTCTAAAAACAGACATAAGGGAGACAACAGAAGAAGGGAAGATAAAGGAGAAAGAAAATGCAATTATACATGATCTGAATAGATAATGTGCAGCTGTGCTTGGTGAATATATGAATACTTACTGATATTAGAGCCACAGCAGTAATGAGGTTCGAAATTCCACCTATGAGAAAATCACTATTTCTCAGTCTACCTACCTCAAGGGGTTGTTGTGAGGGACTCCCATATATGACACCCTGAGCTGCCTGGTGATTTGTGTATTCATTGCGGTAGAAAGATTCCCATCTCCCAGGAGGACTCCAGGAAAGTAAGATATAGCACAAGATAAACCAGTGAGCTCAGTTGGCATGGTGCTGATAACAACAAGGCTGTGGTTTCGATGCATTGCAGAGGTTGGATTAAGTGATCCTTGAGGTCCCTACGACTCTATGATTCTATAATGATTCTTACGTCCCAAGAACTCTGTCTTAACTGAGGAAAGGAAGGGAAAGGAAATAAAGAACGCGAAATTCCATGGTAGATTATATACATCTAGTGCTAATGTTGACAGACTCTTCTTCCCCACCCACCCACTTTCTTTCACCCTCTTTTTGTGATTTTCTGGCTAATGTGCATCTGTTTGTGAGTGGCTGAAGCTGTGATTATGTATTTAGGATTACTGCTGCACTCTAATACAGAAAGCTAAAGTGAAATTTGTTAGCAATCAGAGAGTACCTAAGTTTCTAGTGATGTGAGATGCAAGCATCCAGACTGCCGGGATGTTACATACCATATGACTCGAGTCTGGCAAAAAGCCACCAGTCCCATATTTTCTTGTAGTCTACCAAAGTGGTGCTTATTTTTCTGGGAGAGGTTCTGCTGCAATTCTAATACGATTAGATCAAGTCTGGAAGTACAAAACACAACTACGTGTCTCATCTATTCTCCCCCTTAACTATTCTCCCAACTTAGCTGTGCCCTGACATCACGGTGTTCTCTCCACCACCGAAAAATAATGTACATTTCTCTATCTCTGCCCCACAGCACTATGATGTAAGGACATGATATATATGTTGTACTGGATGCTAGCTCCAGTGGATGCTAGCTCCAGTATTCTGGTTAGTACATTATGGGTATTATGTGCATGTAAGCATTCAGCATAGTTTTAAAGCCATGGGGTTGAGTACTAAAGCGAGTCAACTGCTTCTGCTTTTGGAGTGCTAGTCAAACTCCCACAGAGAACTTTTGTATATTTCCCAAAGGAGTGGGTGGAATAAAATGCCTGTTTCACAGAATAGCAGAAGTATATTATGTTCTTGTTTTCATCTGTATGGTGGGGGGAATAGCTTATCAAGAATGGAGGAAAAGGGGCATTGTTTGGATCATATTATAGCATTTTAATGATACCATATCTGGCATGAAAGAGGGCAATGCCACTCACACTTTGAATTTAATTGGTGTTCTGGGTCTTCATGCAAGTCTGCCAGGTTCTAGTAGGCTGGAGCGTAGATGGCTTTTACAGGACTGGGGTTGTGGGGAAAGCAGAACCAGGTTTGAACCAGAAGGCAAGATAAAAGAGGAATAATTGGCAGGAGGGAGAGCAACTGGGTTGAGAATCTGGATGGGGAAAAAGACTGATAGGAGCTCCTCAGGGCCAGCCACCAGACTTTGTAGGTAGCCATATAGGATACTGAACCTACAGAAACCTAGTGGTGGAAAAGCTTTGCAGGAGAACATGTCTATAGCACTGTGGAAGAGATCAAATTATTCTTCTCTGAACTTTTGATACTTGGGTTGCAGACTTTCCACCCCAACTTCTCTCCCCCCCCCCGACTTCAAATTAGAGGCATGCTTCACTCTCATACACCAAAGCACATGTTAAATTATTATTGTTCAGCTCCTGAAATAGTGGACATCCTAGCAGCCAGACAGCTCAGTTGATATGACCTCCTGATGGTTTGTCCTCCTCTTTGCCCAATTGCTATGGTACCGTACTTACTGGGTAATGGTGATGCCTCTGTAATTCCTTAACATGTACCAGTTGCAGGAACAAGCTGCATCAGGAAATTCTGGCATATCTTGCTGTCCTTTTTCCTCTATATGGTGACTTCCATGTTTATCAGTGACTTTGCTGCCCTTTTGCAGTGTTGCACTTAATATTTATAGCTTACCCTTATGCATCTTTTTCTTTTAAAAAAACCCCACTGTCTCCTGATTTTAATTAATCAGCATTTCATTTTGAAGAAAAGCATAACCTGAGGATGCAGGTGCTCTTAATCCAAGATATTACAAAGCTGCAGCAGACCAACAGTTTTACTGATGTTAATGTCTTGTTAATACCTTAGAAACCACCCCTTTGCTTGCTTGAAATTAGAACATTGGAATCGGTGGTTCCTTTCCAGGACCTTTGCAAGATATTTGGATTTATTGAAGCTTGCTGCAGACCTCTTGATGTGCTAACAACATACAAAGAGCACCCATCATTTTTAAATGGATGAGTAGAAATTATTTAACGTCATCATCAACAAAGAGGGCACCTCTTAATTTACATGTGTTTCTTGAGAGCATCAATTTCTCAGAGCATCAGAATCTCTCTCTCTCTCTCTCTCTCTCTCTCTCTCTGTGTGTGTGTGTGTGTGTATGGTGTAAAACCATGTCCTCGGGTGAATCTCCAATAATTTATAGCCTTCAATTTGTTACTGCTGCTGTGAGAGATAAATGCATCCAATCTTAAAGCCTCGGGGAAATCTGCAGGTCTGCCAGAAGACACTGAATGAATAACAGAAAATTGCCCATTGTGTATGTATTTCATCTAAACAAGAAGCAATATGGAAATATATTTATATTCCTTCTCCATCCCTCTCTGTGCGGCTGATGGCCATTTTTCATAATATGGCTGTTGCATGAAGGCTGCTCGAAACTA